CTTCACGTCCATTTTTTGCAACACAATCGTCCTCCTTGGATACCTAGCTCTCAACCCCAGGAACCGTTCTAACACCTCCTTCATTACAGTCGCCATCCCGCACGCCGAAATTTCTTTAAAAAAAGTGGTGGCATTCACCAGCCGCCCTTCCCCCCCCGTTGCTTCCGCTACTGGTATAGTCAGATCGTGTATCACCCGAAGTTTCTCTTTCTCTTCTACCACCCCGACCTGGGACACGCGCAAACCCGGAATTTTTTCTGCAACTTCTCTCCTGAACAACACCGCCCTGCCTGCTTCCACGTCCTCTACCACCTTCTGCCAAATCGCTCCGTGCCATTTTTGCGCGCTCGGATGATTCCCGTACGCTAACTCATGCTTCAGGTCTCCCCCCGGTCCTACTGTGATGGGTACCCCCACTTGTGCAATTTTTACCAGCACGTCCACGTGTCCAAAGCTCCCCAAAACTTCCGGCAATCTTTTTCGCATCCATATGAGGCGCCAACAAACGTCCAACCCAGACTCCGCATGACATGTCCGATACCACCTCCCGCTAGCATCTATCATCTCATCCCTCGGGGGGGGGGCACTCAAAAGGGGTTCACTCGCTGGTTCAGTTTGTGCATGGGGGGGGAAAGGGCACGGGGCGGATACGGGGGCCAAACTCTCAAACAACACGGCCCACGCCATATCGGCCAACACTGTCATCAATTTCAATTGTTCCGGTGACCCGGTTTTCGTTTTACCGAGCCTCGATAGCGCTGCTCGCCACCTTGCTTTTCTCTCAGCCGCGCCACCCGGTGCTGTACTTGCTGCTCCGGACGCCACCGACCCCGGCACCGGCCCCGTCTCCGCGCCCATGACCCACTCCCTGCTCGCGCGCGCGCCCCATCCTGTAACCTCCCCCGCCCCCGTTGGCCCCGCCTGCCTGCGGAGCCCGCGCTCTCATTTCTTCGCGGCGGGCTCCCCTTCGGCGTCTGCCCCACCCCTCTTCTTGGCACCGCCGAGCCTGGTGATGATGCCTTCGCCGTTGTGGTCGCCGCCTGTGTGCCGGTAGCGGCACGCGTAGCCCTTCCGAAATTCATGGGTGCACACGTGCTCCTCCCGGAACTTCGCGCACTCCGTCTCCGACATTGTGGGAGGCGCCGTGCCCCCCC